GCCGGGTAGGGAGAGGGGTTAGGGTTTGTGGCGGCCCAGGAACCTAGCCCATGATTCCCCGAATCGGCTTGAAAAGATACTAGTTCCCTCATCCTTGTTTCCGCCATTATGCCTGGAAGGTTGTGAATGCACCGTTTTTCCTATTGTGCTAGAGGCACGTATCCGTCCCTATGCTTGCCTCGTTGACTAGGTGGCTGGAAAGGTGGCATATCGCGATTCCGACGTGGCTCGTTTTCATGGCTCCACCTTGGCTACTCGTTATGGCTACGGTCTCGACGTGGCTCATCGTAGTTCCGCCTTTGTTGCTCATGTTGGGTGTGCTCTCGATGTGGCTCATTATCGTAGTGCCATCATGGTTCTGGATCATGGCTAAGGCCCCTGTTGCGATTGGCTCCATCGTCGTGCTTCTTGTATGGTTGCACGTCATTTTTGCGGTGTTCCCTCTTTTCTCTGCCATGGTCGTGGTTTCGAGTAGACCCTGTCCTAGACTTGTCTCATCCCCTGGGAGACAATTTTCTCCTTGGGCCTTGATACGTCTCAAACGTATCTATAATTTTTTATTGTTCCATACTTGTTTTATACCATTGCTATATGTTCCCACTACACTTTCCTCGCTGGATCTGGAGCTGCCAGATCTGGCGGGTGGTGGTGGCTGGCCGGCCGGCCGGCGTCGGCCAGTGATGTGGGCATGGTCACCTAGGAGCTCTCCCCAACCCGCGTGGTTGTCCCCTGCGCACAGTGCTCGGTTGTGAGGATTCACCTTTCCTTGTTGAGGTGGACATTGGTGGCAGATGGGTGGTGGCCTGGGTTTCTTGTGGTGGCTTGGAGTGCCGGCGGGGTAGCCGTAGGTGGTTGCATGGGTCGCCAGTGCGGCCATGGCTATTCTGGCGGTGAAGGTTTGTGATCGGTGGTGGGGCGCGGTTAGTGGTAGTGCCCTGTCTTCTCCTGGGTCTGAACCGGCGGCGCGTAGGTTGCCCGCGCGACGGGGATGGCGATGATCTGGGGCTCCTACTCGGGCGGGCCAGCTTTGGGTCCGAGGCAGGTCGAAGGTTCTGCTCTGGATAGATGGGGTAGGCTCGGTCTGGGTGGTGCCCGCCAAGGACCCGTTGCTCCTCCCGCGGGCACGGTGGGTTGTGGTGGTGGTCATAGCATCGGAGTGTCATCACTCAGATCGGTGTCGGTGGCCACATACATGGCATCGTTTGAGTTTGCCATGGACGTGCTCGGCCGTGGCCGTCGGTAGTCACGAAGTTGCCCCCCAGTACACCTAGATTGGCCTAGGACTCAAGCGTGAGTACCTCCTATGGTGGAGGTGCTCACCCAAACTCGGTGGTTGATGTCGGGCTAGGAGTAGATGATTGTTTCTTCTCGTCCTACCGTGGTTGGGTGCACTGAGAAGTGGGCGGTGTATGGCGTTTCGCGACAGGGGTGTTGCGGCAATGTTCTCGGAAGGCAGGCTTCACGGGTGGCTTTTCGGCGGGCTCCGTGGTAGCGATGGTGACTCCACCTCTTTGTCGTGTGGGCGGCAAGGGGTGTAGTGGCGGAAGGCTCTGGCTTTGCCCGGATCTAGTGCGGATGGATCAACTCTCATTGCGTTTGTGATTGGGACTTCTCTCGGTGGTGGTGGCGAGTGTCCGAGCAAAAGCTCGCGGTTTTGGTGCCAGTGAGGGTGGCGCCTATGGGTGTCGCTTCCTTATTGAATATGTCGTAGTGGGGCTTGCCCTTGTGCCAGAGTTCTGGGTGAAAACCTTTGTCTGGTCGGACTCGGCAACGGCGACACTTTGCGTTGTCACCCTCTTGGAGGCGTTGTTGTGGAGCTCATGAGTCCTCGGCCAGGTCGCGGCGAGCTGTTAGATTCATTCTAGGTTTATGGTGTATCTTATGTTCTGTTTGTAAGGGGGCCTCCCCACCTTATTGTGTCATTCGGCCGTGTACTTTGTTATGTTGTTTTATATATAAAGCGGGGCAAAATCCTATTTCGGGAGACTAACCTATTAACAATATGCCCAGTGCCAGTTCCTGTCTTTTGCCTGTTTTTAGTTTCAGAAAAGTTATTCTGCAAAAGTCCGTGAAAAGACATGTTGACGAGAGCCAATTTTTCACCGACATGAAGATGGAGTCCTAAGGAGAGCTGGAGGGGAGGCCCACAGGGAGCGACTAGGGGCACAGGTCCACCCCGAGGCGCACCCTCCACCCGCCTCCTTGACTGGGGCACCGCCTCAGGTCGCCTCTTCGCCTATTTAAAGCTCCCTGACCTAATTTTGATGGGGACCGCAAAGGATTTTCCCAGTAACACGACAAAACTCCGCCACCATCAAAGCATAGTTTTGAGGGTCATAAGGCTATGTTCCGGCACCCTTCCGGGACAGGGATCGACCCCTGGAGCCATCTCCACCGACCGTGGTGCCTCCATGATCGTTCGTGAGTAGTACCCCCATGGACTACCTGTTCATAGCAGTAGCTAGCTGGTACTTTCTGTCCATTGATGTTCAATACAATGTTCTCATGAGCTGCTCTACATGATTGAGATCTATCTGATGTTATCGGTGTTGTGTTTGTTGGGATCCGATGAATTGTTACATTACGATTTGTCACTTATGTTTGTGAGTTATTGTTGCTGCAATCTTGATATGCTTAATGCTTATCACTAGGGTCCGAGTGCGGGTAATATATACCTCCTACACAAGATGCTTACCGTCGCTCTCATTACCAAGGTTTTCAAAGCTTATCGTTCCTACAAGAGAATACTTGGCACTACTTCTTTTTCTTTCTTTTTATCCTCCTTTCTTTTGCCAGTACCAAGCTTCTACTCGATGCTTCGCTCAAGCGTATGCAAACACTCACTCGCGGTGATACAAGTGCAATACGGACAATGTAATGAGCTAGTCCAAATAGGTTATGGTATGAAAAAGAAAGAAGGGGTTGTAAAACATAAGCAAGTTATACCTAAGTTGATGATGAACTCAGACCTGCGGCCGAAGGGCTTCATGTTGAGTTGTGTCGTCGAGTGGTTGATGTAGATGCTATTTCTAGCTTGCTGTAGGCTTTGGATCACTTAGACCTAGGCCACAGGACCAATGCAAACGTCCAAGAACAATTCAGGGAAAGTTGCAAAGTTGCAGAAATTTCTGTCAGTCTGGGCCGAAGATTCCGGTCACCTAGGGCCAGTGACTCGGGGGTCAAGGCTAGAGACTCCGTTCTATCTCTGACAGACAAACAAGAAATCCTCAAATCGGTGGAAAATTGGACAAATTCCGGAAAAGTGGCAAAATTGAAACGCGTCAATGGTCCTTAGGCAGCAAATCCATGGAACAAAACTGCTCAAAACTCAACGATTCGAGAGATCAATCAAATTCCCTTTTGAGGCTATTTTTTGGATTTTCGAATGAGAGAGAATTTTTGGTGGAAAAGTGCCAAATCCGTGGCAACCTAAAGCTCTGGCACCAAATCAGATCACATTTTCCACCGTCGGCCATATTCTAGGGGCCATTCACTCTTCAACCGTAGATAATTATAGAGGTGGAAAATTGGGAGTATAAGGAAATCTTCTGGGAAAGAAAATGAGTACATCTAAATTTCTAGGAATTGAACGTGCTGCAAATTTATTTGGGAGTAATTTTCAGTAGATATTTGCAAAAACTTGCCATGTGCATTTCTCAATATGTCAAGGGCATTTCTCACTAGGAATAGCTTGAGGAACGAAAACTAACCAAGCAATACACTGGGTGGGAGTACATTATAGCGGAGTTAGATTCAAACTCCCGTTAGGAGCTCCAACCTCTCTCTTCCCTGGCGTCCTTCACCTGCCAACCTCCCGGTGCTCCCCACTCCGTCACCCTGGGAGCCGTCGTGGGTGAGGATGGGGCAATCCCTGAGGGCGATGGGGTCACAGGGGAACATTCCCTCCTCGCTGCCATCCCTGCTGCCCTACGCCACGCCGTCCCCCCATCTTGCCGCACCTTTCTATCTCCAACGGCGCTCGACACTGACGAACCCATGGGCGCGGAAGCCGCCACCTCTGCTGAGGTCTACGAGCCCCGCTGCTGAAGATCTAATCAGGAACCGCCCCTGTTGAGGACGACGGCTACCGCCCTACCCGCCATGCACAGCCATCGCCCAACCACCGCGCATCCACCCCCGTCTACTGGTGGTGAGCTTTGTGCCTCCAACCGATGGCGACAAACCATGCCGTCTACCTTCTCGAGCAGTCGGACCACTAGTTCCCGTGCTTGGAGTAAGTGAGCTGCGTGGTGTTCCCGTGGCTTGTGGATTTTGAGGTGGCCAGGGAGAAGGACGTTGGTGTTAGGACGTTCAGGAGCGTGGGGAGGTTTGTGGAGGAGTATAAGCGGGGTAAGGTAGATCCCAGTGACGTGAAGCATGCAATGGCGATTAATAAGATGTTGAATCCTGTCCGTGGACACTTTGGAAGCAACACGAACTTATGAGCAAGGTTTGTGGAGAGCGTGTGCGTGGATTCTGAGCCCTCCGTAGTTTCTTGTGTTAGTGATTTATATGATTGAAATTTCATGTCCGAATGAACGCATTTGGGACTTTGAAACAGTTATATATATGTAGTTTAATAGCTGCATCCACACCGATTTATGAGAATGTTGTCTCTAATAGCTGCATCCAAACTGATTAAGAGAAAATTATCTCTAATACCTTTCTCTGTCTATTATGCCTAGACATGGTCGGTTTTTTCGCACTATTTGCTCATTGTCGTTGTTTCCTTAAAGTTGCTTCGCAGAGAATACTTCTAAAGTCTCGTAGCAACCCACGAGGAAGGTACCTAGTTAAAGATGAAACCCAATGACACCAACAGTGGAAACCAAAGATGAACAAACAACAGTGACGCTGTTTTATTAAAGTACAATACATAGTTTAAGCATAATAACATACATGGGATAATACATACTTTATTTAATTCTACAAACATCACGGCCAGGGTACCGTTCACGCATGTAAGATGATGTATTCATAACTATCATGGACATAGGTGGTTACTTGGCACAGTCATCCACAACCACAAAGAGCGTACCCGATGACTCATCGCGTGCAAGCCACCTATTCACGTTGAATGTCTTCTCCTTTTGGGACAATTTTTTTTGCTCGATTTGGATGAAGGTGACTTTGTCCACAAACCAACCGGGTTTGTTACCTTTACCATTAGACTCGAGCAACATCCTGCAAGGTTTGGACGGTAAGCACTTACCGCTTCCCTTAAATGTGTCGGTGTGTCCTTTCTCGAAGTTGTTGTGGCCCTTCTGGCCCCAAGGTTTCAGGCTCTTGATAACCAGCTCCTTGCCATTTGCGCTGCTCACTGACAGAGATATACGGGCGTCGGTGCCTGCATCATCTTTATCTCCTGTTGTGACTAATATAACGAATTTGCACTGTGCGTAGGCACTGCTTGCAGTGAGAGCGAGGAGAAATAGGGCGAACAAAATCTTCATTCTGGCCTGTGCGTGTAGGATGGTGTGATGAAGGTGAGCACAAATGCGAGGTCTATTTATAGCTATACGTAATGAGGTCTATGCAGGTATTGTACGTGCCAAGTGAAAGAGCGGGATGATCAGAGCGAGCTGAGGATGGCGTGGTCAGCAGATTACTTGTCAAACAAAATACCTGTACGTGCCAAGTGAAAGAGCGGGGTGATCAGAGGGAGCTGAGGATGGCGTGGTCAACAGATTACTTGTCAAACAAGATACGGATCTTCTAGCATTTGTGTGGTCATTGCACCCGTGGTGCAATCAGATAACTCAGAGCAAGATGAGGATGGCATGATCAGCAGATTAATTGTCAAACAAAATACAGGTCTTCCAGCATTTCGCGTGGTCATGTGCGTGTGAACGCTGCACATGCATCAAGATGGAGTAACATTGTTTGCTCCGTTGATTACTAATTGTTGGTTGCTTGCTTTGGTTCATGCCTGATTGAATGTACTAAATGACGCGTGTTCAATAGGATAAAATCACAGTTTAGGACACGCAAGCCGCCAAGATTGAATGTACTCCCTCCATTTCTATATACAAGGCCACTATGAAATACTATACATTTTGCATTTATACAAGGCCACCAATAGTAATCGATGCACAGTTAATGATATTTTCTCGTACTAATAACCTGTTTAATACATGCATGCATGCATGCAATCATAATGACGGTAAGCTACTTCTTCACTCAGTTTCTTTGCATGCATGCGGAGTATTAATGATCCCAGTAAACAAGAAGAAAAGTTGACTTGTAAATCAGGCATTAAATTTTATATTGGTACTTACCTGTAATCCGAGTTTGTGGCCTTGTATACAAAAATGGAGGGGGTACTAAAATGATGCGTGGTATAAGATCACTTAGGCTCCTCCCAATGCTCCACCTTGTACATGTGCTAAGCTTTCCACGCAGGCAAAAAATCTGATGTGGCGAGTTATTTAAGAAGAAAGAGATGAGCGTGGTGACCCAGGAAGAAACGATGCTGAGCGCGTGAACCTAGGCAAAACTTTTAACAGAAGAAGCCCACCAATACATGAAGAGCTTTAGTTGTTAAATTATTAAATGAAGCAAGCTTAGCAACCATAAGCTAAACACCTATGCATTAGGGAGTATAGTTGCTAAGCTATTTAATGTGCTTAGCACCTCATCTAAGCACCCATGCATTGGCAACAGTCTTAGGCTAGTCATAATGGGAGTAACTTAGCTAGTAACATAACGCATCCCAAAACAAGTTTGCTTATGTGGCACCTAGTTAATGAGAAGAGATGTGTTTGGAGTAACATATTATGTTACCATCACATATCGCTTCCCAAAAAATATTGAGTCTATAAACTAATAAATGCAATCATATATGATACTACTTTTATGACACTTTACACTATAAAGATAGTAATATAGACTAATATCATATACATAACACTAATCTAAATTACTTCCCACTATGACCAGCCTTAGGCTTGCTACAACACTCCCGATTTCTAGAGATATGGACGACCCGATTATCCAAGTAAACTAACCAACAGCGGCAGGAGGTTAAACAATTCGACACGCGGGACATCCATCTCATTAGTTAAGTGATAATGCACTTAATTAGCGGTACACCAGGCTGCTCCGCCGGTCGAAGAACTTGCTGAGTAATTTTTAAAAAAGGAGGTTAAACCCTGGCATCTTCATCAATTGATGTATACATTTATCTTTATTAATTATTTCATGATGGTCTGACAAAAACATATATCAAACCATCCAAAGCCACCATTCATATCTACAAACTTGATAATGCGGAGTGCCCCCACTCCTCATATCTATAACCGATATCGTCGCCGATCCATCCATATAACGTATCGGAACAAACAACCGGTGCGGCAAACCTAAACCGTACACCACATGCACACGTTTTAGAAGTCGCCATCATCATCGAACCGCTGTGTCATCTTCATAAGAGAGATCCGCATCATCCTTGCTAGTCCGACCAACCGTCGACGCCACCACGGCGGCCAACGATGCCACTGCTCTGCGCTCGTCCATCCCGACGCGGAGACTCTGGAAGATCTATCATGCGTAGCACCTGCCGACCAGACATGACAAAGCTAGCACCTGTCGGCCAAGCATGACTTGAGATGTCCACCGAGGCTCCATGCAAGACGAAGCCGCTCCACCTTCTGCCTCTGCCTTCCAGCGCTGCTCCACAAATGATACTCCCAAGAAAGAAACAACACCGTAGTGCCGCCATCGTCCGATCTGGAACACCAGATTCTAGGGTTTCCCCCGGAGCAGCACGAGTGGGTTGACAGTAGTTACTCGACGATGCCTTCATCAAGGTAACGGCTCAGAACGCCGCCATCTCATACCGTTAGCTCGGTTTCCACCGGCAACCATGTCTCCCCGACTCGCAGCCGGTACTAGATGATGGATCTCTAGATCCGACCACCCATCCTCAGGCCGACCACCTTCGACGGAGGAGATGACCACCACCGCCAGCTGCACTGGCCAGAACAGATCTGACTGAAGGTGCCACCAAGTAGTCCACCAAGCCCTCCACGGCGCCGATGATCCGAAGCCAGATGACGCGCCGCCGCAGCAGAAGTCGCCGCCGCTCGAACTAGGCAAGCTGTCGCCCGAGACCGGGCTGCCCGACATGCCGCAGTCACCGTCGCCTGTGGCAGGGCCAACCACCAGCGCCGCAGCAGAAGTCGTCGCCGCTCGAACCAGGCAAGCTGCCGCCCGAGATCGAGCTGCCCGACGCGCCGCAGTCACCGTCGCCCGTGGTAGGGCCAACCACCACCGCCGCTGCCGGATCTGCCGCGCCTCCACATGTGCAAGGGCTCCGCACCACCCATGAGACGCTGGAGAGAGGAGGACACATGCAAGGGCCCCTGGACGTATCCCGGCGGCGACGGGGTGCGGGGGGTGCGGGAAGGAGGAGTCGACCCCGACGGCGACTAGGGCTGGGGAACCGCCCGAGTCGCCCCAGCGGGGGCGACAGGGACATCGGGGTTGGGGCTATTCTCTGGTCTCAAATTTGCTGAGTAATGAACTTAATTAAACAGCTTCCTACTAGATCGCGGACCTGACTGTGCCGTCCCAGGAATAAATTAACTCCTTAATTTATTACTCTCTTGATTAATTAGATGTACCACTAGCTAGGTTGTGTTCATTGTGATCTTGACAATATAATCGTAAGTTGCTATCAGCCTGCTGTGAATTTGATGGTGAATATACGCTATCACATTCAAAGAAAGCATCATTCAAGTAAACTTTTTTTTTGTATACGTCACAACACTCCATGTGTGAACACAAAGTTGTACTCGAAATTCATACATGTGGCATTTACTTTGAATTAGCAGATTGCATTGTCAAACAGGACTTAGCAATAGACTTGTTGGACCTTGTTAGTTACTCCCTCCGTTTTTTATACAAGGCGTTGGAAATATAACCGAGATGCAATAATAATAAGTTATTATTCTATTTAATTATTGTTAATAGATGTTTTATAGAATATATGCTATAATTCTAATAGTTTCTGAATGAGTGATTCCGATGAAATCCTATTTACATGTGTAGAATCATGAACAACAAACCAGATCCATAGTCAGGCCTCTGCACTAGCTCATAAGTTATTAGATGATTCAGTTCTTCTATCCATGGGCATTAGTAAAGTTTTACAAGGATGCTGATAATCACGATGATATATGGTTAGTGCAACAAAGTGTTGGGTGCATGTTTTCGGTAAGTGTCGTGGTGATTCAAAGCCATTCCAACAACTTATTCATACATTAGCTGATTTATTACTTCTCGAAACGATTCGTTGATTGCCTGGGCATCGTTGATGTCTTCGCCGGTGTTGCGGAGTCTGAGCTAGCGGTCGATGAAGGCTTTCATGGATTCTCCGACTTGCTGGGTGCAATACCGCAGATCTGTCATTGTACCGGGACGTTTGTATGTGCTCTGAAAGTGCTGACTGAATACCCTTCTCATGTTGTTCCAGTTATGGATCGTTTTTTCTTTATGGCTATCCAACCATAGGCGTGCGGTGTTCTCCAACATGATATGTAGGTAGGTAACGACAAGCATCCAACTTGTTTCCGCCATGCAGGCCAACTAAGGTAGGGTAATCGAACAACCATGTATCCAGCATTGCGTTGGCGTTGTACCTGTTTCCAGCTTTTGACACGTTCATCATGGATGGGGGTAAGACCACCTTCCTGATGATTGGCCCAAAACACTTTGATCCCATGTATTGGTCGTTGTTTCGATCTTGTCAAGCCGATTCCGGGCATTATGGGCTTGGTTTGCTGCGTATTACGCATCGCGGTCTCTGCCTGGGGGGTGAGCGTTGTGCTTGGGCTCGACTTGTCCCTCATCGCGGTCTGGAAGGCTATGAATTCATCGATCTTTTGCATTGTGCCGGAGGCACGTATCCGTCCCTATCGCGATTAGGTCGCTTGGGAGGTGGCATATCGCGATTCTGATGTGGCTCGTTTTCGTGGCTCCACCTTGGCTGCTCGTTATGGCTATGGTCTCAACGTGGCTCGTCATAGTTCCGCCTTTCCTGCTCAGGTCAGCTGTGCTCTCGACGTTGCTCATTATCGCAGTTCCGTCGTGGTTCTGGATCATGGCTACGGTCCTGTTGTGGTTAGCTCCATCGTTGTGCTTACGGTATGGTGCCAC